GTTCCCTACCCCCCGGTATAGGGTTTCCTGCCTGAGCAGGGGGTTGGACTAGATGACCTCCAAGGTCCCTTCCAACTCTATTATCGTTGTTGTTGTTTCCATCCGTTGCTTCTTGTCCTGCCTTCGGGTGCTTTCGAGAATAGCTTGACTCCCTCTTCTTTGGGGCAGCCCCTCAGATATTAGAAGACTGCTGTCCTTCTCTTCATTAAACTGGACATGACCCAATTCCAGCAACCGTTCTTCATATGTTTCAGCCTCCAGTCCCCTGATCCTCTTTGTTGCTCTTCTCTGCACTCTTTCCAGAGTCTCCACATCTTTTTGACATCGTGGTGACCAAAACTGGATGCAGTTGTAAGGATCGGCAGTTGCCCGAAGAACTTGAGGTTCCCCTGGGGCAAATCAGGAGGCTCAAGCCGAGGCTTCCAGGTCAAACAGAACTTTATTTGGCCGAGTGACCTTGCTGGGTGGGACACTGTCCGAAACGCTGGCAGCTGCATCCAGAGGTGCCCCCCAGTGGTCAGCTAGGCTCTTCTATTTATATACAGGTGACAACCAATCACAGGGCGACACTTGTTGGCACACGCAGAATGTTAACCAATCATCTTTCATTGCTTTCCCGCTCTTTCCCCTGTCTCTGGGTCGGTGTACGTGATCTTCCTGCCCTCACAAAATGGCGTCCCTAACACAAGCACAGTGTACAGAAGCAAAATGGCAGCCATTAGGCTAATAACAAGAATAACCTTTTGTACAATCCCTAGTATACAGTATTCCAGGTGTGGCCTTACCAAGGCCTTGTAAAGTGGTATTAACACTTCACCTGATCTTGATTCTTTCCCTCTGTTAATTAAGGTGACCAACTTTTTTACAATGAGAAGGAGGACACAAATAAATTGAAGAAAAAAAATATCATAAATAAAAGAAACATTTTATTCATTGCAACAATAATACAGAATACACTATAATATGATAAATGCATAATAAAAAACTTGTAACAATAACATTTTATATTGTAATTATGCTTACATGCTTATTAATTATTATTTAAATGAGTACTTTTCAATTGAATGAATATTTTGTCAATGTATCATCTTCTAACAACATATTGGAAATATCTGAACAAGAAATATTCTTCATATTGAATTTTACGGCAAGTGCTGCAGCTAGAGTATCAACGCTCAATCTCAATTTCTCACTTTTCCAAAAATCACTAGCAATTGAAAAAAACCTTTCAACTGCTGCATTAGTTCCAGGGCAGCACAACGTAAATTGAACAAGAATAAATAAATTTTCACATGGAACATGTTCATTTTTGAAATGGCTGAATATTTCCACCCATCTTTTATTAATTTCAACGTGTTTATTTTCCCATTGTATTAATTTTTCAGAATTTAAAAATACATTCAGTCTTCTAATTTCTTCAAAGAGACAATTGTCATCTATTTTAATGTCTGGCATTTCTTTAGATAAAAACTCAACACAAGATTCAATATCTGTCCAATATACTTGCGATGAAGTAAAAAAACACCATTGAAAACTGTTATTTCCTGTGATGTTTGTTTCAGACCATTCTTTGATATATTAAAAACATGTTTGGTAAAAATTCTGCGCTTCTTTGATAAACTTTTCCGTTATGCCCGGATTTGATGCCTCTAAGTCTGTCAATTTTCTTTTTATAACTAAAGGAAAAAGAAAATTTTCGAATCGAGTTTTATATTGAAGGATAAAGTCATTCAAAATAAGACTAAGTTCTGTAGCTGAAATGTGTTCACTTCAATCCTTTGAATCGTTTTGTGAAAAATAGATGCTTGATTATGTACAAAATACATTAATATCTCAGATATTTGTCCGAAATGGTATAGGGTTTCCTGCCTGAGCAGGGGGTTGGACTAGATGACCTTCAAGGTCCCTTCCAACTTTATTATTATTATTATTATTATTATTATTATTATTATTATTATTATTATTATTATTATTATTATTATTATTATTATTATTATTATTATTTATATTTCATTATTGAAAAATGATTCCAGGATTTTAGGACATTTATCTAAACTTTAAAAATATGAACGGAGAAGCTCAAATAATTGTAGAACAAATTCTATAGCAGGTGTTAGAGCAAGCCATCTAACTTTTGAATATCCTAAAAGTTTTTTGTACTGAACATACGCTTCTTCACAAAATTGTTTTAAAGTAGCCACACGAACGGTAAAACGACTAAAATACAAATAAATTGAAGTTATTATTTCTACATCAATTGGCATGGCACATGACGCCGTGTTGATTGCATTTGACAAAATATGTGCATTACAACCTATTCCTAGTATTTTCTTTTGGAGTAAATCTTGTAATTTTACATACACATTATTCACCCCTTTGCGTCTTCGCCCACCAAAATTTGTGTTTGTATTATCAGCTCTTAGTGCAACTTTGGATTTCAAATTGTTTTCATTTATTACTCTGTATATAGATGGTTTGACAAAATGTCAGCAGTTTCGCCCTCAATGGATTCTAAATTTAACATTTTTACTTGAATGCCCTTGGTAACATTAAAATATTTTACTAGTATTGGATACAATTTAGTTTTATTATGATTGGATGCATCAGATAAAACCGTTACAAATGCTGCAGTTTCCAAGTCTTCTGTAAGTATTTTGTCACAGTAATTTTTAAATACTGATTTAATAATAGCCTCGCATTTTGTCCTGGCGCATGAAAATTTAGCATTGTGAAACTTTTTCAATAATTTAGTTGTACAATCCATACTACGAAAACTTTGATTGTGAATTATGGTATGAAATGCAAATGTTCCCTCCATTGCAGCTAACTGTTTCTCATCTTCAGAATAATTTGAAGTTTAAAAAAAAAACTTGTTGCTTCCAATTATCCTTCTTTGATATGAGGAATGGAAATTCCTTATTCAATTTATTGTTGAAATGGCATTTCCTCTTTTTTGATTTTTCCATCCCTAAATGAAATTTAAAATTTAAAATAAAATATAGAGCTACATGAACGATGCAAGCACATTCATTATGAATAAATAAAATTAATTATTAAAACTGAAACAATAACATAAGCGAATAAACTTGTAAATAAACATACATATTTGGAAATTATTAAATAGATAATGAATTAATAAAACGTGAATTATTGTGCTCATCTGTGTATGATTGAATATTCACTGGGAAAGAAGTGAGTCTAATGCATGCGTGTGTGCCGTGTCGTGTTTCGGTAAGAAGTAAACAAAGCCACTTGCGCGTGGCGCACTCTTGTGCGCAGTGCACTCTCTCAAAACAATTCTCCTGTGCAGAGCGCATGCATCTCATAATCGCCTCTCTCCGCACTGCACAGAGCCTTGATGAATCGTCATGTCAAATACAACTACGTCACATCACATGCACTGGATCGGATTGGCATCGATCGAATACGGAGATTTACAGATTAGTCTTCAAATATTGAAAAGGAGGACATGTAGGAAGACACTTTTCGAGAGAGGACAGAACTTACAAAAGAAGGACTGTCCTCCCTAAAGGAGGACAATTGGTCACCTTATAATGCAGCCCAGCACTGTGTTGGCTTTTTTGGCAGCTGCAGCACACAGCTGGCTCATATTTAAGTGATTGTCCACTAGGACTCTGAGATCCCCCTCCCAGTTGCAAGGTACCCCCTATACTATACCTATACATTTGATTTTTCTTGCCTAAATGTAGACCCTTACTTTTTTCACCATTGAATTTCATTTTGTTAGATAGTGCCCAGTGTTCAAGTCTGTCCAGATCCTCCTGTATCTTAAGCCTGTCTTCTGGAGCAGGGTTTTTCAACCAGTGGTACGGGCACCACCTGTGGTACATTGGCACCTGGCAGGTGGTACGCGACCATCCTAGAAAAGTGGTAGTGGGGGAGGGGAATGAGCTGAACCGGTGGCAGCACCGCACAAGCCTGAGCGAGAGATGGCTGGAGCTGCAGGGCTGTCAGGGCTCAGTGGAAACACCAGGATCAGTGCCAGGCTCCAGCTGGAGTTCGGCACTGATCCTGGCGCTTCTGCTGAGCCCAGAAGAAGCGCCGATCAGCTGGAATGTTGCAGCGTCTCCAGGGTCTTGTGATTTACATTCAGATGCTTGGCAACTGATTCATATTTATGACGGTCACAGTGTCCCAGGGTCATGTGAAGTGACCAAAACCTGCTGCAACCACCTAGCAGACAGGGGGAATAAAAACCAAACACCCCCCACCCCACCCCTACTGCTAATCCTCAACAGAAATGCTCCCAACAATGAAAACCTTGGACAAGAGGAAGAGCACCGCCGGGCGGGCAGGCAGGTGTCTTGCTCGGCTGTGGCTTGGGGGGCACTTTTTTCAGTGCCATTGTATAACTTTGAACACTGTTGTAAGTTGAGGACTACATGTACTTTATCACATTTTTCCTTTTGGGGGGGTCATCAAGTTTTTGACACCTTGCTAGGCGACTGGTGGTACTCAGATGTTGCCATATCCTAAAAGTGGTACAATGGGTGAAAAAGTTGAAAAGCCCTGTTCTGGAGTGTTGGCTATTCCTGCCAGCTTGGGGTCATCTGCAAATTTGATGAGTTCCCCATCTATCCCCTCGTCCAAATCGTTGATGAAGAGGTTGAAGAGCACTGGGCCCAGAACAGAGCCCTGGGGCACCCCACTACACACTTCTCTCCATGTAGATGCGGCAGGGGGTTGGACTAGATGACCTCAAAGGACCCTCCAGCTCTCCATCCTCCCTCCCTCCCTCCCTCCCGGCAAATTGCGGGCGACGTTTCATTGGTCCACGCCGGGCAACTTCTCCGCTTGAAGAAGGAGGAGCAATACGGAGCGAGCTCCGCGATAGGTCGGCAGAGACACATCAGTCGGGGGAGGGAGGGGCAGGAGGCGGGGTTTCGTTGGCTGAAGCGTCAAGCAAGTTCGATTGCGCGCAGCGGGGCGCGAGTTGCGGAGCGCGTGCAAGAGGGGAGCGGTGGCTGTTTGCAACTTAGGCGGAGCAGATCAAAGTAAGTCCCAAATTTAGCTTCAAAATGTGATTAATTGCTAATGGGGATTCTTGGGAAAGGAACTATTATCCCACCGGATTTTGGGGAAAAACAATAATTTAATTGCTTTTTGGGGGGGAGAAAAAAAAAAGTCAGTTGCAAAGCCGACCATCGTCAACCTGGCGCCCTCCAGAGATTGGGAGTATTACAGGTCCTATCATCCCCTGCATGCAGGCTGGGGGATTCTGGGAGGGGGAGTCCACCCCCCTTAAAGGTTGCCAAGGTTGAGAAAGCCCGGCTTAAGGCGTGGCTGTGCCTCTTAAAAGGAAGGGCTGGTTTGAGGGGGGGTCTGCCTTAATGGCAGTGATGGGAAATTAAAATCTCATTTAGCCTGAAATGTCAACCTGGGCACCCAATTGAACGCCTATGCATTTATTTATGCTTAGTTTAGTTATTTATGTAGTTTTTCTCAACTTTCCTCTTTCTGCATGTATTCAAAATGGACAGTGTTTTGTGTGTGTGTGTGTGTGTGTGTGTGTGTGTGTGTGTGTATGTATGCATGTATGTATATGTGTGTGCATGTATAGGTATGGGTATATATTCTTTTAAGAGTGGGCAACAATTTCATTTTTTAATGTGTGGCAGTGTGTTCACAGTAAAAAAATGACAAAAAAAGTTATCAGATTGATTTATCGGATTTATCCAGCTGCCTTTTCGGACTAAGTGTAGTTTTATATAATAAATATTTATATATGACTGTAGGATACATATGTATGTATGTAGATGTATTACTGTTAACTCAAACCCCCCCCCCCCCATCGCCTGGGGTTCCCAAGGTTGAGAAAGCCTGACTTAAGGTATGGCTGTGCCCCTTAAAAGGAAGGGCTGGTTTGGGGGGTCTGCTTTAAAGGCAGTAATAGGAAATTAAAATCTCAGTTTTATTACTGTTAACCCCCCCTCCAGTCGCCTGGGATAGTGAGGTGGGCGGCATATAAGTTAAACAGACAAACAAACGTCTTAGCCTGAAATGTCAACCTGGGTACCCAATTGAACACCTATGCCTTTAATTATTCTTAGTTTAGTTATTTATGTAGGTTTTTCAACTTTCCTCTTTTTGCATGTATTCAGAATGGACAATGTTTTGTGTGTGTGTGTGTGTATGCATGTATGTGTATGTCTGTGCATGTATAGGTATGGGTATGTATTGTTTTAAGAGTGGGCAACAATTTCATTTTTAACGTGGCAGTGTGTTCACAGTAAAAAAATGACAAAAAATGTGATCAGATTGATTTACCAGATTTATCCAGCTGCCTTTTCGGATTAAGTGTAGGTTTATATAATAAATATGTATATGACTGTAGGATATAGATGTATGTATGTAGATGTATTTGTATTTGTCATGCAGATTGCCAGGTGTGGATATAAAATATAAAAAGAGTCGAGGTTTGTCTTGATAAGCACAGTGTGCAAGGCAGATATTTATAAATTTCTTTGGTTTCAGTTTCGTTTCTTAACTGCAGCTAAGGAGAAGGCTGGCTTGGTCTCTCAACAGGGTGAAGCAGACACAGCAGCACTTGCGTTTCCTGCCTCGTGGCATGAGAAAAGTAGGTCTTCCTTCCCCTGTCCTTCCCACTTTTTACATTTTTTTACTTTTTACATTTTTTTACTTTTTCCCACTTTTTACATCCTGTCCGGTTTGGAAGCAGAAAAGATTATTGGTAGTTGACTTACTTCCAGGGCATGTAAGCAATACTTGGGCGGGGGTCCCCAGGATTTTTCTGGGGTGCTACACATCCTCTTCACAGCCGGGTTTTCCTTGTTCCCTTCTGGGAGGAGGGGGCTCCGTGGTATCCGAAGCAGAACATCCAGATTCGGTCACAATTTTGTTCCACCCAGTGTCAACCTTGTGAACTCTCAAGCTTCGTCTTTCCTGCATGTATTCAAGATGGACAGTGATTCATACTTATATTTACCATGTTTCCTCAAAAATAAGACCAGGTCTTATATATATTTT